TTACGCTTTCTTCTTCTGCAAGGATTTAAAGGACCCCTTGACCAGAGCATTAGCGCTACCTATTCCTTGTCTCGACGATGAACCAACGCCCAGTTTACAGTAGTTAATGGAATTGTGGATACATTTGTGTTTTCTATGCATTTCTGGAAGGCTTCTTGAATTGCCCTTGCAGCGCTGCCAGCCACTACAAGCACTTTTAGATTGTATCTGTATGGTTCTGTATGTATGTATTGTTGTTTGATGGCTGTGTGGTGGGTGAAGAGCGACTTTGGGTACCTTTCGGCTATTGTAAAGGGCTATACAAATAAACTTGATTTGATTTGATTTGATTCTTCTACCAGTTTTCGGAAGATTTCATAAAAAAATGCAGTCATTTCGAAAACCTGATGTTTTGCGTATGACAGTTATGAGTGTAACAACAAGTGCAGAGAGTGACATTGGGTGTTTTACTGTCTCATCATGTTAGTGTTAATTAAAGAAGATTTATCGAACAGGAACTGTAGCTCAGACTACCCATCAAGGGTACAAGGTTACATATGTTTAATTTCCACAATCACTAGGTTGGGAAAACCATGTACATGCACGGTCTGAAGTGTGCATAAGGCACAATCAGTTCTTATGTGTGAAAAATGGAACAGGCATGTTGTTTGTGCTTGTGCATTGTTTACACATCTGGATCCAGACTTGTGAAAATCATCTTAATGTAGTTTGGGAGGGAACACACACTGTAATAATTTGCCCTGTGTGAGTTTGTGTGCGCGTGTGCCAGCTATGTATGCTTTCCCAGTGAGGTAATACAGTTTTTTGGTGTTTTTTCTGCTCTGTTTTACCATTTCTTCCTGTTTGTTGCACATGTTTTTGATTTGCTCCCTCGCTCTGCAGCTCACACTACATTAAAGACGTTAAGATTTATTATTGGACATAAAACTGTTTAAGAGCCTGGATATTGTTTGTCAAAGGTTAAAGGGGCAATCTCACTGCAGGTGATCAGGTTTATTACTATGTTTACACACACACATACATACACACCTGGCTTTGACCTGCACATTCCTCTAACTCTGGGTAACGTCTCTGTCGTCTCATCAAACCAGTGAGTATGAATGCAAATAGCCCCATTGTGGCTCACAGACCTAACATGATTACATTCTAGTACGGTTCCTCCCTGGAGCCATTTCCCCGCACCAGTTCTCACTATATGATATTTCTAATTTAACTCTCTAAAAATAAACCCTGGAGGATGTGAAGGAATAAATGCCTTTTTAAGCAAATCTCTCCCTACGCTGAGCTGAAATTTGGCCACGCTAATTCAATAGCCAGAGTCTATTGAAATGTAAGGAAACCCGGGGCTTTTGTAATTATGTGTGGCTCATATAGGCTCATGTGAGGCGCCACGAAGCAGGAAATGCTGCAGTGAAAAGTGTTGTGACCATGAGGGATGCTTAGTATTGAGAGGAACTAATCAGGAATGCTAGGTCAAAGCACACACACTGGAAGTCATCAGAAAGTGCTCATGTGCACGTGTTTTGATTCATGTTTTGTGCAAGTGTGTGTGTAAAGGTTTGTATTTGAATGTGCCTGACAGCCTATACACACACACACTTACAAACGCGTACACACCGTACATGTTTCTCCCATCAGGAGAGCTTCCCCACTGTCCCTGCTTTATATCTCTAAAGCGAGTGGTGTTTTCCTCCAACACGCGGCTCTGCAGTCACTGCCAGAGGCTGAATCTTGCTTTAAACCAACGTGTCTTACGTTTGCGCTCGCTCTCTCTCTTTGCACAAGTTAATACGTGAGGTGGTGAACTTGCTCTGGGGTTTGGTGTGTGTGTGTGTGAGTCAGTGTGTCATGCTTAAATGTCTCTGTCTACATGTGTGTTCCTTCAGGGGTGCTTTCCGTGCCATGTTAGGTACATATCAAGTGCTGTTTGCTCTCCTTTTTCTTGTTGCCTTGAAACATGAAAAGGCAGAGTCAGTTATGATTTATCAGTTGCATGAGTCATCTTTTAACTAATCCAGGAGAGACAGTGGTGGTTGATTGTGATCATATACTCAATTTGCTTCAATTTTCTTCAAACTGGCTTGTCTGTATATTTCAGAAAGTCAAAGTGAACTTTCTCTTAATCGCAGGTTTACATTTGAACCTCCAACCACAGTGGAAGCAGTACAGCAGCATTAAACTGAAACACTGTGTTTAAAACAACATGTGAGAGACGTGCAGCATTTTCCTTCCTTTTTTTAAATCAGATAAACAATATAGAAGTTCTCATGTTTTATTTTCCTTGTTTTTATTTCTTTAGCATAAATGTCATGATTATTTACTTCATGTTAGGTACTTTGTGTTGCATCTTATGTATGAATCATGCAATATAAGTGAAGTTATTATTACTATTATGTGAGTTTTTAGAAAATAAATAAAAGTTAAAATTAAAGAAACATTAGCTCTAAAGATAAATTGGCATACACTTCTTGGCCAGTTNNCTCAATGGGATTTTACCTGGTTAAATAAAGGTTAAATAAAGATGATAATGGGATATAAATGTGAAAATCCACTTTTAACACAAATCACAAACCTACAACCAGCCTGTCTTAGACGGTACAACTATACAATGACTTTTCAATGGCGTGTACTGCATAGTAATTATCTTAAGAATCGATCTGTGTGTCTAATTGTCACATGTCATGATCATGTGGTTGATGACCAGCAGCTTTTCTTCTTACATAGGAAATTGAATTACAGCAGTGAACTAATGAGCAAACATGATGAATCAGAGATGTAAAATGCATTGTTTGGTCTTTTTTTAATTGCCCACTTTATGAGTAATTTCTCTGAGTCGGTAGATTTACATACAGTGCTACTTTATAATTAACATAATTTAAAGCAAAGTGTGTGGATGTAGACCAGTTTTATGAATGAGTGTCACATCCCTGCTCTTTTTCCTGATGGGAGACAGCCAGTCTGTCACTACGGCCTTTGTGACACTTCCTGTCTCCTCTTTGTCTTCCTGTCAGGGGGCAGAGTGAAAACCTGGAAGAGAAGGTGGTTCATCCTGACGGACAACTGCCTCTACTACTTCGAATACACAACAGTAAGTGTCATTCTAAGATGATGTTTTGATCAGTAAAGTGCATCTTTGTGTGTGAAGTGTCTGTTTAGGGCCCCTCAGCCACCAAATGAAATAGGTCTCTGTTGTCTCTGTTTGACGTCATAATTTGTGACTTAAAAAAAATACCCTTAAAGGTCCAGTGTGTAGGATTCAGTGGCATCTAGTGGTGCAGTTGTAGGTTGCAACTCCCTTGTTTCACCCTCCTGTTCCACACACAAAGGAGAAAGTACAATGTGCAAAACCTGCGAGCGCCCCAGTTTAGAGATAGTGTTTACATTTCAACATGGCGGTTCAACGTGGTGGACAGTCATGGAAGGCGACCTACGGCGTCTGTAGATAAAACAGCTCATTGACAACAATTCTTATTTTCAGGTGATTATACACTAATAAAAAACATACTTATGAATATTATATTTAATTTCTTCCA